TATTAAAACTCAACAAAATTCAATGAATTTAACTCAAGCAATACAAGACAGCGTCGAGTTGTCATGAATCATAAAGGTTCTAGATGGTTATGTATATCTCATTGTCGGTCCTAGTGAAACTAACTCGAACTTGAATTATCGTAAACACCCCTATTCGTCGAATTCACGTGAAATTTTCACTTTTCACGTTTCCGCTCCTAGGGAAAAATTACATGATCGATGCCCTGGTAAGAAAGTCATAAGCACGTGGTAATCTAGTTTCAATATTTCAAGTTTTCCACTAAAAATAAGAACAGGAGGTGTCAACAAAACTGAAAATCATATTTATTCGACGGCTCGTTAAATATCTACATAAAAAAAATCCACAAAATTATTGCTGGTGCAAGAGTAATATTCAAGTAATACGCAAAAATGATGTTTCGAGCGTATCGTTTTGCTGGTGTAGTATCACACGTTATTAATGTTGGGAAAAGCAATGTACGATTCATAAGTTTTCTGAAAATGAAAGAAACATTCAAACATTTGATAGGCATGGATTCTGATAAATTACCATATGAACATGTTTGTCAAATTGGCGATCCCGTTCTACGTGGTCGCGCTATGACGATTGATCCAGAAGTTATAAAATTGGCGGACTTTCAGAAGGTATTGTAGGTATTATTTTAAATATTAAAAGCTATTATTTTATGAAATTATTTATAAAATTGTACTATGCATTTTTACATTGGTGTCTTTATTCTTTTAAAGTAAATATTTCATATTTCTATGTAAGATACATACAAACGGTATCACATCCCTTTAATTAACATATAATCAATTTAATTATTCAGGTAATCAAACAATTGATAAGTGTTATGCAGCATTACGGAGCATGTGGTATGTCTGCGCCACAAATTGGACTCCCGTGGCAAATGTTTGCTATTGAGTATACGAAAGGCCATATGGACACGACTGATGAGGTTGTCAGGAAGGTTCACGAGATGGAAATTATCCCAACAACGGTCTTTATCAATCCTGAATTAAAAATCATAGATCATACTCCCATCATGTTTTATGAAGGATGTGAGAGTATTCGTGGATATGCTGCTGCTGTGCCTAGAGCATATGAGATAGAAATTACAGCTCTAAACACTTTTGCTGAACAGTTTACATGGAAAGCGCGTGGATGGTCTGCTAGGATAGCACAACATGAATATGATCACTTACAAGTAAGATGAAGTAGAAAGGAGACAAAATATGTAAACACAAATAATATGTATCGTGCATATAAGAATAAATTAAAGGAATGACTAAATTAACAATAAATTATTTATATGACAATTTTTTAATTTTTTAGGGGCAGCTGTTTATAGATAAAATGGATAAATGTACATTTCACTGCTCGGCTTGGGAGAAAATCAACAAAAACAATGGCAATATGCAGTTAAGTTATTATCCAAAAAAGTAAGACATAGTGTTTATAAAAATTAGTATTTATATATTGACTGAGATAAATATAATGCTTGTATAAAAATCAAAGTATACTATTAAGTTTCCAAAATTTAATCCATATAGATAGATCCATGTAGACTTAGATTTTAATTATATTATTTAATTGTCACATGTTATTAGCATTTGAAAATTATTCAGCTGTGATTTAATACACATGTTCTTATTTGTAAATAAAATTTTAAATCAAAAGGTAGATTTTATATAAATAAAGAAAATATAATAGTTTATTTTTATGAAATTATAATATTTACAGAAATTTTTTATTTACAGAATTATTGTATTTACAGTAACTGATTTTAGTTTTAAAAAAAGTATATTTTAAACACAATAGTTATGAAAAAAAAATGGAATAGCGATGTTGGTACACTTTGTAATATTTTTGCTACTAATATAAATACTAATAAATTAATTTTGTCAATACTATATCAATAAGTTAATATAATTTTAGAAATTATAAAAGTTTATGCTATGAATAGGCTCATTTGTAATTAATAATTAATTACATGCATTTCTCCAGTTTATTCTATGTATAAGAGCATGCTTATAACTTAATAAGCAAAATATTAACAAAGTTGACAGATTAAATAAATTTGATCAAATCTACTGTCAGCCAACATTGCTAATATTTAACCACCTGGGTAATTTTATTGAATTTTTTTATAAGAAGATGAATTAAAGAAAAATTTTGTTGTTATGATGAATATGTAGTTATAAAAATTAACATCTGATACATACATACCATACAACACATAATATGTACATTTTACTTTTATAATAGATCTTTGTATCTCAACTTTTTTTTTAAACACAGGCATAAGTAGTATTTCATATTATCTGAGATACAGCAGTTACATAAAAAATAGGATGTTTTATTTACGCTTTTTTAAGAATACAGTCATAGTAGATTATTAGACATACGGTTACAGGTACGCGGAGTCATGTCGTACCATATCGTACCATATCGTACCATATCGCATCACATCGCATCACATCACGGAACCATATCGAATGAACGAAGAGAATTCAAGTATTTCGTTCATACGAATCGATTTTTGCATTTTATATCTGGAGTCTATATCTCCTCGCATAACATTTAATTGCTATCTTACAGCTTTCAATATCGATCAATAGTTTATTTTATTACTTATTTTCTATCACGTGTTCCTTACATTTTTACGTAATCTGATATGATAGAGTTATGATCCTTTCAATATGGTTCGATTGTGCCTATCAATAACAAGAAAAAATAGTTTTACGATATATTCGAATATTTTATAAACGAGTATTATCAATTTACATGATTTTTCCTCACAGATTGCAGTGGACTTTTTTTTCAATTTATGAAAAAAATTCAAATAAAATTCTTATCCGTCCATTTTAATTTAAAATAAATTTTATTTAGATAGAGATTTTAATAGAGTTAGAATGGTTGGTACAAAAAGCGAGTTATAAATATCACAATGACTGTGGTATGAAAAATTTTTTGGTTCCGGATGTATCCTGTTTATTATTTCGTACGCGTCATATATGTATAGAACTGTTTTTTTGGACCGTCCAGAGAGATAAAGCGTGCTCACATTTTCATAATATGCCTTCTGACTACGTTCGTTATCTTATTATTCATGAATAATTATGATTTTGAATACTTTCCTATTAAAAATGTAAGTACTTTTATTACAATTACGCTCTTATACGATGTGTATTATGTATACCTAAATCGTATCTTAAAAAGCGTTTGTTTTCCCAGAGTATTTCTTGCTCCGACAACATCTGAATTTAAACGGAATATGCGTTACAAAGATGTCACATACTTTTTGCATTCATTAAACATTGTTTTTCTTTTTTTTTTCGTTTAAATGGAATAAATTTATATATAACAAGCATATTAAGAAAAACATATTGATATAAAGCTCCTTTAAAATAATGTGGCAGTACGATATGGACACAAGATAAGAACTAATGGAATTTTAAAATTTATCTAAAAATTTTAAGATCTGTTTTAAAATGTGATATTTCTGAATAGAAAGTCTGTATTCAGGGCTGGGCAAAATGTATTTCAAATTGTATTTCAAATACAATAAAATATTTGAAATACAAAATGTACAATGCTAACACAATCTTGGTATTTAAATTATAAAATATAAAATACTTTTAATTTTTAATTTTTGATTTAAAATACAAAAATTTTGTATTTTAAATAAAAAAATTGAAGATATTTTGCAATAAATACTAAAATTGTTAGTATTTTGTATTTTGTATTTCAAATGTGTTTGCCCAGCCCTGTCTGTATTATTACTAAAAATTTGTTTCATGAATAAGTAAAGGAATTGAAATTTTATGTACAAAAAAAAGGAAAAATATTGTGTGACAAGTTTTGTCGATTACTTTACTACAGATTATCTACGTGTTCACAACCACATCTAGTGCGTATTTAATATATCCACACAATTTTTAATTTATTAACAAAAAACTTGCAATTTCTTGCAATCGACTGTAAAAATACAAAATTGAGAAGTTGCAGAACTACTATGTGAAAGTAACTCATAAATAAAATGCATTGTTTCCCAACGCTGTGTAGAGATGTGTAACAATTTTAAATAAAATATACGCAATGTAGATTTCGCTTGTAAAATATACATTTGAATGAATTTTATCTCTTAATTCTTAGGCTTATTGATTGAAGAAGTTTCTTTCTTTTAACAAGACTGAGCCTTAGCCTCGGATGCTTCATTTTTTTCGGAAGAATTAATACATAGGAACACGACAATTACGCGACGATGTTACACATTATAAACCATTATTCCTTAAATTTAAATATTATATTTTTTCTAACACCGATTATTCGCGAATCGTAATATGCTCATTTTTGAAAAACATCGTGTATTAATGCTATGGAAACTGCAGTAGATGTAATATTGGTCCATTGATTTTTTTATTTACATGATTATGAACGATACGCAAATAAAAGTAATTAAATTATAACGAAATGATGACGCTTTTAATTTATACACATTGCGTAATATAATAATACAGATATCTTTACGATTAGCGTCATGACTAGAAACTTGATTAAAAGTGAAATAAATTAATCATGTTTTTGGCGCATTACAAGGACTACTTAGTTGACGTTGGGAAGAAATCGCATCCAGAATACAGCAAATGCAGTTGCATTCGAGCCGATCGTGCTGGTCGATCGGCGGATATTGGGCCGTCCTTAGAAGAGATTAGATATTTTTATATCCAGGTGTGTACTCGTTGTTGCTGAGAGTTTTCCTCCTCCTGTCAGGAAATGTGTCCTCTGGTGATCTGCGGGTTTCTACATCTTCTGCCATGACCACGGTGATGCGCCAACAGCCGGTCGTTTCCGCTTCTCATTGATTGCAGGTGCAGAGGAATTTGCACCGTGCCTATCGAATTAGAAATAGAGCTTGTTTGCATCGATACATCGATTATTACGTATCGTGTTACATCAAATCAAACTACAGTGCGCTATTAAGCGCTATTAAGCGCTTAATAGCGCAACTTAATAGCGTTGTTTCATGCTGTTAAATTTAGTCGCATAAGCTCCGATATAATTTGGACCTCATTCACGTTCGTTGTTCTGTACTAAAAATCGAGCAAGGATTTTAAAAGGTACATATTTACTATGTATGTTACTATTTATTAAATGCAGATATTTTATATAATTTTATATATATAAATATTTAATTTATAACATAACTAAAATGATAACAACAACTAATTAAATTAATGGAATGAAAAATATTTCATGAAACAAATTTGATGGGCTTTTGTGCGGCGGTATCGGAAATTATAATATCGATATGCATAACAATAATGATAATAAAATAATAAACCATTTGGTTAATTAAAATATTATGAGAAATAATGCACCGCGTGCCGCGTTGAAATTATAATATTTCTCTTATTTAACATTTCACTGTGAGGAATTAGTCGTTTTAGTAACAGATTGATATAAAAATTCGGAGATTTTGCTTCTGATTTGTATCAAGAATAGGAATTCTATATTTAGATATAATTTTAGTTTAACGTTAAAAACGCGTTGAATAGATGAAGAATCACGTGCCGACTCGCTATTTCGCTAAATTGATTTTTATATCTGGAGTCGTAAACTTTGTACGGAATATCGCGAAGGTAGTCAGTGCGAGGTGCAATCTCTGGATGCGACAACATCACCGTCGGTGACGACGTCGGGCGCCAAGTGGCGCAAATCTATGGAGGAGATTTGCACATCTCCTTGGACCGAGTCAGCGTGCTCAAGGCGAGGCTGCGACGCGCTTCTAGGCGTCGTGGAGCCGGTGGTGCAAGTGTGCTCCGAGAGGGTGCACGAAGACGTACCGTTCCGCGATATTCTGGTATGCATGTCCGGACTACCGGTGCAGCTGTACCGGGACGTCACAGCCTCCGAACGCGATAGCGACGGCTCCGTTGACACTCGCACCCACGGACACCAGAAAAAGAACTGGGCAAAGCCACGGCGAAATCTGCGATAAGGAGTAATTATCAATAAGGTAAATATTCTTTGAAGAGCCACATTGAAGAGCCACAAGCGTGGTAAGCGCGAAATTAACACACTCAGCAACAAATTTGTACGTTAGTAAATATTTTTGGTTTGTCTTTGTATCCTTAATAACAATATAAAAAAAATATCGATCTTTAATTTCAAATATTTCTTCAATTAGACTGATTGTAAGAAGCTTAGAAAGATAGATGAAAAAAATAACGGTGCGTGAGTGGAAGTTGGTGGAAATTGTTACTAAACTGGAAGTTTCAATTTAATTTCTGAATGTATGACAATTAAATTCAAACCCTCGATCGCGCTTGTAGCTCTATTGAATAATTTTGGGTTCAATAATCTTCATTTGTTATGTTTAAAAATTCATCGACAATTGCCGATAATTATTAGTGTGGAATATTTAAAGCTTTAAATATATATGTATCGAAATGTATGTGTTGGCTGTAATATAATATGTAATTTAGTTTTTATTATTTAATTTAAAGATCATCCATACATCAAGTTCCATTTGGCGGAGAAAGTTTTTATATTTCACGAAAAGGAAATTGTAACATAGTCGCAAGGTATATCATAAAGTTTTCTCATATAGATCATCTTCTTATATTTGTTCTTTTTAGTTTGTAACACGCTGCCAAAAACACCTGATATTCCTGAGGGAAACATCTTGTCATATAGGCTGTCAATTCAAGAATAATCACATATATATTTAATACTTTTATTTTTTGCAAGAGGATATTGTAATATACCGTAGATTGTAAAATTTTTTCATAAATTATCTAATAAAATTATTTTTTTTCATAATACTCTTGGAAAAAAAAGAATAATCGTCCGAAAAAATATAAGTTATCTCCTTGAGCTGAGTTATCGAAGTGGTCTAATTAATAAAGGAAAATATTCCACTTGAATAGTTTGGAGAATATTATTGCCTGATTATTGCAGAATGTGCATTCTGTTGCATCGTTATTGTTATACATCCTCATTACGAGATCTATGGTCCGAGCGTGGGAATATAACGTTACTTGATATATGAATATTTATGAGATCGCAACATATTCTGTCGATAGCATGCAGAACATTGAAATTTGCCATTTGCGGTTACTCGCGAATACCTCGCGGCGTAGTATTATATTTTCATTTTATTGTTTTTAATGTTATTTATATAAATATATTTTTTTTTATAAGACCGTGACAATGCCGATGTTTGTAAGGGACAAAAGGTGTACGCTGCGTGTGACGTGTAAGAGAGGGTTTTAGGGAGTCAAAGCTGTATGGCTCGATCAACCCCCGATCGACAATGCTGCGCTCTCATTCCCATTTGCGGGCGAAGCGAAATTATTCTCGATTGCTCTCCGAAGATTTGCGCGGCTTTTCCATCTATATCGCTCGGTCAACGACGTTCATCGAGCGCGCACAAGTACGCCAATGTATATATGTGCACGTTTAAAGCAACATCTCTGCGGTATTACAGTTACCGTTTGCTTTACAAAGATATGAATCACTTTTGTATGTATCGGAATTTTGGTCCGGTTGACCGCGTTTCTATTAACAGGAATATTCAGCTTTCGAATTGATTGTTTGTGTAAACGCGTTAATGGTAGTGTACCAATGTTACTTCCTGTTTCGTAATAACTTCGGCTTTCCTCCAACCCTAACGAAGTATCTCTAAAGCCAGATGAGCTTATCTTCTGTGCAATGTTGGATTAACTCCCGACAGTTCGTCAAACACTTTCCGACGCGCGGAATCGCCGGTAATCGAGTCTTCTTAATTAACAACTTTAACACTTTAGAATGAAGCTAAACTCAAGATGCATGACTAAACTGTTTCTACAGAGATCTCTGTCTTTTTATAAATGCACGAGTATATCATAACTTTTTTTGTGTCAATTGCGTTTATCTGAGCAGCCTCAGGCTGTTGCGATTTTACGCGATCACTTTTGCCGATCACGTCTATTTTTGCTACTTTAATTCTGCGCGATTATTGGTTTATTATTTATAGTGCGAATTATTTTTATGGATATTGTATGTATTTTTTTGCTCGAAGAGAACTCGATAGGAGTTTAAAACGTTTGATAAACTATTGTTCGAAATGCGTTAGACTGTTATTTGTCCTCTTGATTGAGTATTTTGTTTGAATCGAAGAGTTTAATTCTATTTGTTATTTTTTATTTATCGCGTTTTTAATTAATACGATATAACCAATAATAAAAATAACAAAAAGCAATTTCAAGTCAGATTAGGAAATTACGTACTTAAGCAACAATTCAAATATTTGAACGGAGATTGGTGTTTAATTCGTGCAAATCTACTAATTAACATAGAATAATTTAAGTTAGTCCTTGGTATCGCGATAAGCAAACTTACGAAGCAAAGCGCCGCGCGGTATTCGAGATGGTGAAGGGGAAACTTTCGCAAACTCCTTAACAATTGACGAGAGAGGATTTCTTGATATAGTACCTATGTATTTACTTATCTTACGAAGTTGAGGTTGAATCAGTAAGAACTCTCGAGAAAATTCTTCATATATAATAAATCAGTGTTAATAAAGTATGTTTTTTAAAATTTTTGTTACATAAATATGTCGAAATTATGGTGTATTTTACATTGACAAGTGTTATTGCGAATAATGAAACAAGAGATAGAGTCGTGCGCTTTAAGGATGGAGTATAATTGAAAAGCAAAAGTCTTACCTAGTATTCATCCAGCAATAAATAATAGGGTTGTACATGCTGTTGGACATCGCCAACCAATAAATGCCCAGAAAGACCTCCTGGATATACGGTTTAGTTGTAATCTCTGGCAGATAAGACGTTACTATGAAGTACATATGAAACGGAAGCCAGCACACTGCGAATATTACTACCACGACTATCATCATTTTTACGACCTGAAATATAAAGAAAATTTATGTCAACCAAACAATTATTAAAAAGTCTGTCATTTATCCTATTAATTTTTTACGGATTTGGACATTTTCAATGTTGTTTACTGTACAGATAATAAAGTCGGAAAGAGAATTCTTGTATTCTTTATTTTTTTTTAATTATTGCATTAAATAAAAGAAATTTGCATTACGTATATGCAATAATATAAATTGAATGATAATAAGCTTCAATCTTTCTGTCATAATTAATATCATGATTTTACTAAACGTCGCAGTTAATTGCGTTGAATAATCACAGATATTGATTTAAGTTCTATTATTTAATTTAATGATAAAAGAACAATCGTTAAAAACAGCTCACATGTGCTTCATTATTTGAAGAGAATTATTAAATTCAAGAGATTACATATTCTCGTTTCAATATGTAAATCATTACGATTATTTCATAATATGTAATGAATATGCAAAACACATAATTTTATACTGCTAAATTGTGGATGATTTTAATGAAAACACCTGTTAGATTCCGTTTGCATATACACATTGCGAATGAGGATTCCACGAATAACAAGGGTCTGTCTGTATTTAAACATTCTATGAAAGAGATGTTTCTCTTTGTAATGATAACGTGGAGGTATATTCGCGGAGGTGGATTAATCACGGTTAGAAATGACAGGCAAGATTCAATTACAGAGGTAAATGACGAGCGGTAATTGTATCCACAGTCTATTGCCGGATTTCTCTCTCCCGTGACTCTCTTGCGATTCATACCGGCTTTTTTCTTTTACGTTTTGTGCCGTATAGAATATCGTTGCACAATAGTAAGTAGTTAACGTCATCGGTAATTCAAACGCAGTCGGAAAAGCGAAACAATTAACAGACTTTATCTAATTACAGTGACATGCTAATTATTAAAGCAACGCGATGCTGAAACTATCGATTGTCCGGACGCAAACGGAGCGTTCGCTTTTTATTCAATTTTCCAGTTTTGGAATGAATGAGAATGCTGCGCAATAGATATTTTCAATATGTACTTCTTGCGAAGAGCTATACGGATAATTAAAGCTGTGATGACAAAGCGTTTGAAATATGTCGATTTCTTCGTCGATCTTGTTATTAACGCGAGAAGAGATTCCACTTCTTCCTATCTTTCCTTTCCGCGTTGTATCATACTTTTGTCCGTTCGCAGAGAAATCCTCTTTTTCGTTGAAATTAACGACCTATTCAATTTCGCGCAGGTATAGTTCTTGTAATCAGTCGAGGACAGCTTGTAAAGGACAGTCACTTGAGAAATAACTTAAATTAGATTCGGGATAGTTACAGGCTGCACTTCATTATGCTCTTTAGATAATTGAAAAGTAGATTTATATTCTCCTCGTGTACATTGTGTTCTGTACGATCTGCGCCAGATATACGCGACATTTAATTCGATTGCGATATGCTGTAATGAATATACGTCGCTAATTTTGCGACGAGTACGCGAAGAGTTTTGGAGTTTCCGGTGCAAAAACACGTTTGAAAAATAGCCACAGCGTAGCAAATCGTGGTTTTACAGTAAAATATTTATGTCCGACCTTTGGCAAGTGTTTACAAAATGTTTTAAATATACCCTGCATTTTTATTGTTTTCGTGCTAAGTGAGATAAGATTTTGCATTTCTTTTCTTCGTTAGAAAAATTCACGATAAGCCAGTGTTTTATTTGCAGCAATAATAATGAATTTTAAATATTCTTAAAAAATTGTTTTATTAATTTTTTTTATCCACATCTTATATCTCTGTTAATATTTTTTTTTTTTTGAGTTTGTGCGACATAAATAAGCAGGTAATAAAAGCTATACAATTTTTTATTTATTTATAGTTTGTAAAATTTTGCATTGAATCACAGAATCGATGAAACGGTGTTAGAGTAAACCTCAGTAATGACTAATCGTCTCCGTTTAATCGCATTTTCAGGATAAAAGGGTCACGCTTTAATAGGAATTAGTGTGTTATCGGTGCCGATTCTTCCGGTAAAGGAGCGAAAAGAATTAGTTCCTGGCCATTGCTGTCCCGAAATAATAGAAGAGGCGAGGATTCGATCTTATAGATAATTCACCTCACGATTGTGGTAGAGCGTCCATTTGTCGTATCTTATCCGGAAAGAGAATCGTGCTGCTGTCGGATAAGTAGTATAATTAAGGCCAAGGAAATGGATCGTTCGCGCGCTTGCGTCTCGACAATTGGTCACACATTATTTGACTATCTCTCCTTTTCACTTCACAACGTCGGAATTCGTTGCTGCAGTCCCGTGGCTGCCAGTTTTGCTATTATTCTTACGGATTTGTCGTAGCGTGCACACTTATATCTTACAAGCTGTCCGTTCCTCACATTTTCTTTGACGTGAATCGAGCATCGGCATCTGATATAATCGCAGAGAAATTTCTCGCCACACTGACGAGACAGCTACAAAAATGTAATCGTCATAAAGCTAAAAGAATCCGATGTTGGATTATCAATTTAAATATTAAAAATTCTTCAATATTTTAAATGTTTTGGAAATTGCATACCTTATCTACTTTCTCAGTAAAGATTTGATTGGGTACTATTATTTAACTACGGCATATCCAAAAATGCAAAGTAAAATTTTTAATATTCTTGTTTTTTGCGAACGTGCGGAGCATTATACCGACCTTTTGCATAGGCACGTGGCATAAAAGACGCTCAATGTGATGCACCTTTAAAGTGCAGGCTCTGCAAATGTACGTAAATGCACTTTGAGCATATTTGCGTTTTAAGTTTAAGTGCGACACTCCCAGAGGAATTTAAGTACTTTTCTTCTGTTGGCTTATATTTGACACACGTTATTTTGTATTTTACATCATTGCTTTATAATTTTTTAAAAAGATCGTGGTCTGCGAACAATTCGGAAATAAATAAAATAAAAGAAATATTACGGTACGCTAATGACAAGACGTTCCGCCGCTTCAATTTTGCTCCATTCGTATGTAAATTTAACGTGTTAGACTCTTCACTGAATTAAATTTTGCCGAGCGAGGCAATTTCCGTCTTTAAAAAAAACTGTAATAAAATTTAAAGAGAAAATGACGCAAAAAAGCATTGAAAATGCATGATATCTTTTCATAAAGATAAATGATGAGTATAAAAATTATATTTCCGTTAAATAACAGCTGTTTTACGTTACAATTATTATCGATAATATTGTACATAATTTACAGTCTAACTATATAGATATGGGCCGTTTATCCGTACTATGTATCTATCTATAGAGGTTTGTCCGTAGGAGTTTGTATGCGGGTAGCGCTCTGTAACGGATGTGAAATCTGTAATACGTGTACTGGTAATGTCATCGGTTGTTACACTGCATACTCACGTGACTGCGGAATGGAGCAAGGATTCGGAATATGGCAGAGCGGACGCCTTTTGTCGTCTAATCGAAATCCGATAAAGTCCCACTCGAACATGCCGAGCGGGGGTCACTTGACTGGATTCTCCTTGTACTTGTGCGCAGCGTATTATTATAATCTCTTTACCGTCATATCTCGCGCATTTAATTAAAGGCAAAGCGCGTTTCCTCTTCTTTTTAAACATAAATAATTTGGATAAATTTTCAACAAACACATCTTGAATGAATATCTTTTACAGTTTCTGTCGTAAAGACTTCCAATAATAATACCTGCAAGATGTATATCGCATTGGAGTCGAACTGTGGATACAATTTCTGCAGTAGTTACGGAAAATACATAGTCAGTCGTGTTGCATGCGCATCGACCGCTTCGTTGCGAATTCGTTATATGTACATCCATTATGTGATAGCCATTTTTATGTTCAATAATCACGTTTCCATTTTTATTCCCTTCTCCGTAACCGCTCTGCCGGTTAGATAATATTTCTGCATTAATAATTGCATTTATATCGCGTACGTATATATTACCGTGCAAATGTCGAAGACTTTTCGTTACGTGTATCGCTATCTCATGTAATTTATCGCAAATAAAAAAGTTTCACGTCTGAAACAATTGCAGTATTCGTGAAAAATAAAATAATGACAATAGTCGAAGGGCAAAAACGTGTATAACCAATCTTTTTTTTTAATCACAGTCGAAAACGTTTCAATGAACACTTGCGGACAGTCGATATTGGTCGTGCTTGTGTATCGCAAATGTGTTAAATTGCACCGATATTTTTCTTTGAAACAAAGAGATCATTTCCCTCAAGAGCGCTTGTTTCTTTTTTTCCTTCTCTCCGAGTTAAAATTAACTAAGCGCTTTGGCCTCGCTTCACGTTCGTGGAGGATAGATGAAACTTTCCCCCACAGACCTTATCGACCAAAAGTAGCCAGGAATTACAGTCAAAGCGTCGGAAATGGAGACTCACGATGGCTACGCGAAAGTGCAAACCGAGAGACTGCTCTAATTACGAATTATGGCCGAGCTTTCGGTTTAAATCGTCGTCTCGGTGGTACGTGCTGGATACCGGTCGCACTATTGCTCAGTCTATATGTGATTTTCGCTCCGACGTTAAGCTCGAATATCTTTGCAGATTGCGTTTAGAAGTAATTGGAAAGACGTCTTTCAGCGGCATCGCTGAGCGAATCGTCGTCGCGTCATTAAATTTCTTCCTATGCAGCGCGAGAAAAAAACAAGCTGTGACGATATAGCGATAAATATAACGAAATATCTTTGCGTGCGTGATAATGTAACTACACGATATAAGTCCGGTTTTTTGAAATATCGCTTACATGGTGAATTACTTGCGGAAATAATATATAGAGGAGAGTCGTGTAGAGAAAATAAAAGCAAGAGAAAGCCCAACGTAATAGAAAATGCGCAATATAATAATTTACCTTGGTTAACTGTAATCAACATTATTTACAAAATAAACATATCGATTCTAACTCGATCCCTCTCCAGAAAATGTGCTAAAAGTAATTATCGCAAGTTTATTTAACGCAAGAAAAGAGAGCGAATCGTTCTCACTTCCTATGAAGACTCTGTATTGCCTGTTGCATAATTATTTTATTAACGCAGGTATCTGCCGTTAAATATGGAATATTGCAAAAATCTACGCGCGCATCCATTTATCAAGCAAGTAATAAAAATTACCATACAGTCGTTAAGATAAGAAAGGACAAAGACATGTATTTCGGGGATTCTTGTGCGTTACGCGGTTTTCGTTGCCCCGCCACGCGATATTATTGGAGAATTGCTGATGTTATTCATAAAGGAAGAGAAAATCGTGGAACCACGCTGGGGAACCCCTGCGGCTACTAAAACAGCGCCGATAAGCTCGAGTTTACGAGAGTTGGATAAGGCCAATATCATCAGGCCGCGGGATATTATCGTCGTCGTGCGAATCTTAATGCCGCTTGCATGCGTTTCCTCGTGTTTCTGAATGTGATGTATATTGTGCGATTGCATGTATGTACAATATACGCTCGTTGCATTTGCAATCGGTCTTATGGATTCACGCAATTCATCGTTATTAGCAACGCGTCGTATTTATCGTAATCAATGCATCGCACCACCGAGCGTTTTAAAAGGGAGTAAGTATTATTTGCTTTTCCCGAATGGTATTAGGTGATCGCCAAGATAGCTTGACGATCGCTGAAGGAAATAAAAAATTGGCGATTCAGTGAAAGATATGGATGACTATGCGATATCGAGCGGAACGACTGCGAGGGAAATACAGCCGTGCGATGGTTATCGTAATTTTTCGCCGCACAATGTGCTAATAATGCATAATGCTTTTTCGATAAATATTGCATCATCATGATAACGATGTAATCAAGCATAATAGCTTTGCATAATTATTATAATAATTGTGTGTACGTTAGATCGTAATAAAATTCGATAAAATTACATGAATATAGAGTGATTATACCTAATTTATTTAACGTTCGACAAATAAGGTACTAGAATGTGAGCAGGTATTGTCTAAAGTTCTATCCGAAACATAATTAATTGATATAGTTCATATACCGGTTTTGGCGAAGTTTCGGAGATAACGAGACAACAAAGAGCGCGTGTGTGAGATTATTTAGCAGCACCGCATCGCGTAAATATATACTACAAGTGTAGAGATAATATTACACTTTAATCACCTACAAGTGTAAAGACCGTGCAACAAACTCTATCTCAAATTTATGAAGCTTATTAACATTCATTTCTTTATTCATGAATATTAAGCGACACAATTTACTTTCTTCTTAATAAAATATCGCCATTAAAGACGAGCGGGAGTAAAACTTTTTTACTGCGTTTAAACGCCTTCGCGCTTTCCCGCTTTTTAAATCGCCTTTCGATCGTAAAAAACGAAAGCAATTTCAGCGCCTTACTATCAGCGCGGATATTAATTCATTTTATGCGCGATACATACCCTTCGTTTGCTTCGAATGTTCTCTAGCTGCCTGGCTGTAGCTTCTCCGATGCTCTGCGAGCCCCACAATTCCAGGCCGACCCTGGCGTATGTGAACGTCATGGATCCAATTGGTAAAAAATATGTCAATATCGTGAAGACAACGTTGTATCTGAAAATCGATGAAACTCATACGCTATTCTACAAAAGCAAAATTTATTCGACGTAATATGTAAAAATTTTCATTTTATAAATATTGCCCTAGAAATAGTGCACTTTTTTCCGTCATAGACTTTGAGAAAACTGCAGTCAACTTTTCTTTAGCTGGAAAGTGTTCCAGTCGGAGCCTCATTATTACGTTGACATTGAGAATTAAGGTGTCTCGATGATTTAAAAGCTTTAGAAGCTTAAACAAATGGAAAAGATCTTGTTTTCCAGTTAATTTCACTTTTCTCGGACAGAAATGTAATTTAAAATATAATTGCTGCAGAATCTTGAATCGGAAATTAAAAATGTCGCGAGGAACAGACTCCAATAAAGTTACCGTTAAGGAAATCTCAATGTCTAATTCGCCAAAAAAGTCCGTGATTGAGTAATACATCGTGAAATTCCGACACATGATAGAACACAGCATTCTACACATATAAAATTTAATTTATGGCTCATACATTTTAATTTACCGAATTGGTATTTCACAGAGTTACATGTTTTATTCGGGCACCATCGACAGAAATTTACATTGGATAGCGTGAGAAACGACGTGACACGTGATGCTCAAAGGGAATGAAAGTATGTGGTATCGCGGTTTCGCTCGGTAAAGCTTTTGTTCGGAGGCACCAACGTGGTGCATGATCGATTTCAAAGCACCATGCTGAATGTGCCGATCGTGGCGAAAATAATTCGCGATCGATTCTCCAAGTGCATCGATTACAGCATTGATGAATACGCGAGAGTATGTATTACTAGGCCTAATGAACCAACGAATGTACATCGAGTGCTGTTTGCTGACCAAAGCGTATCAATGGTATTATCGAGGCTGTAGTTGCGTAGATTCATTAAACCGAGATCGCGTTTCAACGCGAAAATTTGTGTGCAATTATTTACATGTTAGCACATACACGACTAATGATAATCGTATAATTGCCGTTAACCTTTAGTAGCGGGATATAATTCTGTATTGTACAATGCATTGTACAATGTATTGTACAATGTATCTAACGAAATTTATAAAGAAAAGGGAGAACATTGAAAAGAATAATAACACATAAAATGCAAGAAAAGAAAGACAAACAAGAAGTTACAATTGATTGTCGAAAAAATTTGGAGCACAAGAAAATTGAAAAGATTCGAATATTATGCGAGCAGTATTTTAAAAGAGAAGAGAATATATTCATTTCCCGGTCAATCAGTTTCGACTGACGTTGAAAAGGCAGGAGGTACGACAGCTAAATTACCATGCAAAATTCTCGCGTTATGACGCCAGTGAAGAACGCCGCAGGCGCTACAATTTTTCCTTGATGCTTCGATAAAACTGGCTATATGCGTTAATTTTGATAATTAAGATGACTCGAAAATGATACTAACAGCAATGTTAATTCTCTAACCGAGCATTCAGCTTCATCATGATGAATGCGTTAAAACGTATTCGTTTATTATTAACAAATGACAATGAATTTGCCAATGAATCATCTTATACGTTGCAATCAGATTACGAGGCGTTATAAGCTCCGATAATCGAAATTCTCGATTCCACGCATTTTGCTTGGAAAGCCAAAATGCTAATCCGGAACGCATAAAAACTGCCGTTATGCGAATCCATCGCCTTGTTTAATTCCGATTTATTCCGATGCAATTTTAAGCCGTAAAGATTGGTAAAGGCGATTGTCAGGGATTTAATGGCGATAAAATGAACAAACGAACAAATTTTGCGAAGCAATCGATGAACGGCGCTTCTTGTTACGATAATGCCGGCATTTATACAAATTTGCTTTCAATGCGTTTAATGCGAGGATTAGATCGCGCCGGGTCTGGGAACGTTCGCTCTGAAGAGAGAAATATATTCAGGGAATCTTCAGAATATCGAGAGCGCGCACGTGTGTGTATGTATGTTAAGCCAGTCTTACGATAATACATGCAGATTGGTTTAAATGTAAGTAAGATCGCATGGTGGATAAAAAGTAAAGTTGCGTACATACAGGCAATGGATAAGCCATGCGTCGCGTGCTATAAACTGGTGCGCGTTTAATATAAACTGATGATGATTACGGCTAATTTACATGCATTTTTTTTTAATTGTGCGCTTAGCTTTTTTTTAATAACACTCACCGTTTGTAATTGCATGAATTTAGATGATTTTTTTTCGAAACAATCGTCAAAAGTGAGAAACGTAAATGATGCAATCAATGCTTCCGTAAAATTAATCACATTAAGCGAAAAAGATAGAGCTGTCTACTTCCGTTCAGCTTTTACGATCACGCGCATGACTCATGCGAAGTAAAATGTAAATAAAGTTTCACGTTTCTCGAGATTTCTGAGAATGTGAGTATATACAGGAGTTATATCTGCAGTTCTATTTTATATAGTGTGGTTTGTAATAAAATCGTATAGGAAATGGCATAAATTCAGATTTACGAGTTATCACTTGCCGATGTGTGTATGCAGCTTAAAAGAGGAAAGCTTTTGGCAATGTGGCGGAAATGCCTGGCCAAGCTTATAAAGGTTCGATCTCTGAAAAGTTTTGCAGAAATTCTTGCGGATATTTTTGTACCGACCAATCAATGCAATATGTTTTAAAATGAAAACTCTTATGCTTCGGACAATTAAAGATAAGCAAGCGAAATGTAATGGAAAGAGCTTTGCAAAATCGTAACGAGTAAAATCGCGAACATTTCGGTTAAGTGACATAAATTTAGGGAACAATTGTTTGAAACTGCATTTATATCGCAATCAGCGCTCTCCTGGTTGTTCTATAAAGTCGCCTATGCGTGATTCTACATAACGTGCTGAGCGTGATAGCCGAGCTCCGGTATTCCGTTCGAATCATTCAATTAGGAAACAGAACCCGCTTCGAAGCGAGTATGTTATCTTGACGAAACGTTTTCGCGATCTTATCTTAATGGACGATCATACGGAACGTAAATGTGGAACACGGTTAAGATCTATCTCCATCTAAAATTACAACGTACAATTGCGATGCCGATTTAATCACGCATGAATGGAATAAGTATTTTAAGGATTTTCGATACATTTATATGTGTGCTCTGCATCTCTAACTGGAATTAGCTCGATGTATCGCCTCGTTGCGATAACAGAACTGAAAACACTTGACAATGAAATGATGGACTCATTGTGTCGGCGTGGTATGCGTTCGGAATGTGTATGCTTATGTACGTGAGAGACGAATCAACTGACCGACGTGTGCAGTCGTTTAACAGTCATAAACCAGTAAACGACAATATTGCGTATAATGCGTGACACGTGCGTATACATGAGGTGATAACGCTTTTACGCATCTTCTGTCATTCGCTTGACCGCACAGTCGAGATGTTGAAAGAACCGTTTATTTTATGCTTATCTTATGCTAAAAATATAAAAATTCTAGAAATTATTATCAAAATATATTTGACTTACAAATATTCATCGTAAGTGTTTGGCCAAGCACCGTAGCAAATGACGCGGACTTCGCCGTTTATGAAGTTCTGAGTATAAGTAGTGTAGAAAACCAGCATCGGTAAAGAAAGAATTACTCCGACGATCCAAATAACGATCGCAACGCATAGTGTCGCCTTTTTTCCCATACGTGGTCTCAAGGGATTCACGATGGCCATATACCTAAAACAAAATCCACATTAATCAATGTATGAAGATAAAATTGTTGCATTTGGGCAAATCTTTTAAAATAATTCTTATTTTTAATCATGAAATTTTAATCTAAAAATAATCTCATCCATCTAGAGAAATTAAAAAATGAATGAAATATTATCCCTTTAAGTATCTTATATGAAAGTTGTTTTTAGAAAATGTTATTTTATATCTGCCAGCATCTAAAATAAGATTACGATGATACACACCCACAATAGCATAATATTATATATAACTAGTAAAATATACAATAAGATTTACCGTCTGTCAAAATAGGATTAGGTGCCGGAGTCTTGTAAGCAAATATTATAGAGACGGAATTCCAGATGACGCGAATTTTATCATAAATTTTCCGGACGATAAGAACAGGATTACGGGATAATAGATCAGACAGTGACAGCGTTTTTCCGGGGGCGAAAGCGTAAAAATATCTCAAACGAAGAAGATATAAGCTCTCTGAGACGGAGACGCAATGGGACCTAATGATAATATTATAAACGAGATAGTAAAATCATGTTTACGCGACCGGTATATCTCTGAAGTCCGGAGTTTTAAAGCCGCTGCAGACGAGCGCACTGATACAGAAAGAGGCAGATCAAATCGTAAAATCCGTATTACTAAATGTGAAGGAGCGAAGATTAATGTCGAATTGAAAGAGATAGAAAGGGAGCGTGCCTACCCACAATTCGACAAATGGAAGATCGTATGATAGAATTGAAAGGTCGGTTCGTCGGACGATAAAGCGTTGAGAGTAGTTGCGAAATCCATTTTCTAATATCCACCGCAGGCAAGCTGTTCTACACGATAATGTAAGATCAAATCCTGGCTGCACGTCAAGATCGCGTCCTCCTCTCGGTGGAATTATGTTAGCTCCTCAAACGCCATCGAGCGATTTCGTTCTTACGCCTACAAAAGCATGTCCGACATTTCAAATATTTAAAATCATGATACGTGATATAACGCCAATAAAAATTATACCAATGATAATTTGGGTTGTTTATGATTATATATACATGTGTGTATGTGTTCGCTCGGCAAGCGGTCGAAACGCGAGATGGATGGATAACGATGCTGATAATGATGGGAATTTAAGTCTATGGATATGTGAGCCTTCGTATAAATTCTCTCTAACGATCTAAATAGTAACATATTAAATGTTGGATGGGTCTTTATCAACTCTACATTCACAATCGAGGAAACGTTAAAACGTCGAAATAAATTTCTCTGTAATTTCGAGTAAAATTTTGACCGGAAGAGAATTTTCCACCTGTGATTGCGTATGATCCACAAAGAGAATAATCGCGCTTTATTTTTCAATCATTGTCATAAATGAAAAGGTTCGCGCTTGCGGCTAATGTAAGTACAAAAAAATTCTAGAAATCTAATCAATAAAAATTAAAATATATAAATTTAATAATGATGTATCAAATATCACAGCCTTCACTTAAAATTCAAGATTCAAAGCATTAAAACGTCGGAGTGAACTTCTCTCTGTAATTTTGGTTGAAATTCTGACCAGAAGAGAATTTTCCGTCTGACTGAGTACTAATGCGATCCACGAAGAGAATAATACATTTATGAGTCGTCGTGCTTGCGTAACAAGCGACATAGAAGCCGAAGAGAATTCTCGCTAGATACAGAAGGTGGTTGTGTAATAAAAGGGTGGGGAATGAGACATTTTTGTCATTCACTGTGACCCACTTCAACGGGTTATTCGTTAGGGACGCTTTGTTTCCAACGGCAGATATTACAAAGACAAACGCGTCCGCGTCCGAGATGACGTCCAAGTGCATTTACGATGCTTGCAGTCGTAAAGATGACAATATCGATAATAATGAAATTTGCCCTCGTAACAAACTACCGGCGGCAGACCGGTGCGTTCCATTCTTTTGTTCCTTCCTACATTGCGGCCGCGCGAAAGCCAAGCGCGGATTATTTTTCCACCGCACCGGAGTTTCAGCTTTTCGAAACGATCTGATCGAATCCGAGTTGGATCTCACCTGAAAAGAAGGCTGACTGTTTTTCGTTCTTGGCTACCGTATATATCCGACGTTTCAATTCCTCCGTTGTATTCTCAAAGATAAAGTTCAGAATGAAGTTCATCCCGCGGTCTGATCGCATTTCTCTCGCTACATCTCTTGTTCCTCGCTGCTCTTACTTCAGCCTCTTTTGTTCTACCTCCGCTTCTTTCATACGAGCTATCTTGGACACAATTTTATACAGACAAGTAAAAAAAGTGAATTTTCTAATAAAAAGCATTTCTCTCTTCTTTCTAAAATATCTAACAAAATATAATAAAATTTTGTTTTATTGAATTTTACTAATTCAAAGCTCCTGTGTTTCTTCACTTTAGCCATCTCCTAAATTAGGTCAATTACATTACAACAATAATCACAGCAGTGCTTATTTTCGTACAAAATGGGATTTTCAATATAAATAAAATATATCTTTCAGAATTCTCGAAATTGTTGAGATTTCCATTTAGATTTTTGAGAACATGACATTCGGAAAGTAATGTGTCTTGCATATAAAGAGACATTTCTCCAACCTCAGATGTACATTGTCTCGCGTTTGAAGTAGGATAGGTGTATATGTGCAGCAGGCAGTTGAGACTCGCGAGAATATTGTTACCGCCGTACAGACGGAAGCGAGAGAAGTAGAGAATGGAACGGAGTGAACTCAAGCCTCTCTGTAGGTTGTCAGGCGAATGTCCTTGACGTGCTTTTTGCCCGCTTTGTAGATGTTAATCCCGCAGATGAGCACTAAGAAACATTTCTCATATAGCTCGTATATGCATTGCAAATTCCGAAATCACGGAATTTCTGCGCTCTCGATTGTTGTCGTTAGTACCGTGAGGATTCTACTTAATCGGCTTATTTTGGGTTAATTCAAAGGAATTATATCAATATTTTAACATAAGGGGCTGAATAACGTTACGTCTAAAGCCAAGACAAAAAAAAAAGAAAAAAAAAGGATTATTATTATTAATACATACAATTTTATATTTTTACTACTTATTTCTAAAATTTTACTGTCGCAATCTATATCCGCTGTATTATTGCGATCGTGTATTTCGAATTAGTGTTACATTTTCTCAGATATTATATATTTTATATCATTGAAAATATATCAAATGTAACAAGCGTAAATTCTACGCGAGTGGAAATCTCGGTGGAAATTTCAACACGAAAGCAAACGATTGCAGTCGTTGGAAAAAGCTACATCAGAAAGCAGCTTTTTCGTCGATTATCCCTCGGGCATTAGCTCGTAATGCGTGCACACACATAGCGCTGGAAATTGGTTGGAATTTTGTGGGAATAGACAGCTGAAATTGTTGGAAAAGAGTTAAGTAAAATATTTCACTTCTCTTCAAGTATTCACAAAATTGCATCGCAACGCAATCACATAACATCGCTTTGACGCAATTAGCCGCCATATTTGTTTCATATTCGTCCCATATTAGACGGTTTTCGCAAAGCTGCATCTCGGTACGGAGAGTTGCGGCAATCTAGTCGAGGGTAGAGATTTAGGAAAGTCTTGACCTCCTTGCGCCCGATTTATGCGCTTACTCGTACTACTTTCGATCCGGCAGCTGTTACTTATTCGCTTCCTTCATTCATTTCGGCCAGCTTTAAATACGGGCGCATAAAATTTTAAACGAATAAACTTTTCTCGACAAGATAATCTCGACAAGATCTGCCAAAATATCGAGGATATGGTCGATCATTCTGTTTTCTGCAGCTGCATGCGTTCCCACACGATACAAATCCCTAAAAGACTTAATTTTTCATACGTTCTTTCTAGATGTCTGTTAGACGCCTTTTGAAGTTCACGTTGAATCTTAACAAGACAGGACGCAGGCTTAAGGTCTTTATCGGAAGAGTTGTGGAAGATAGATGTTCTCTGAAAGAGGTAGCTGTCATAGCTGTTGTACGTTTGCCGGGTACAAACGAACGAACGAACAGGGCGTTCATAAGAAAGTGGGTTACGAAAATTCCCAGGGATTCGCCTTCTGTCAGAGGCACCGCGCGTTTTGGGGAGAAGAATGGTCCAAATTGCATTATCACATTTTGCCCGTTTTTGTGGTAGTTGGGAAAGATCCTAAGAGGTCCTTGACCCTCGCTTTATTGCATCGTCATGATAATAAATTGCAAAGATTATTGACCTCTGTCCCTTCGAAATGAAACTGGAAGGCACGTGAACGTTTTATTACGAGCGCAAACAGATGGCCATGAGAAATTGTAATATGATATTCGTTATTACTTGTTTTGTGCATCATGTCATTGTAAATTTACAGTTTATTCGTTGTTCCAAAAAATTGCTATAAAACGTTGTTTGCATTTTTTAACACTTGCCGTTTGAAACGTGTAAATCCCACAAAGAAAGTTCTTTTAGCGCAAGAAAGAGGATGTTCGTTAAATATAATTTGAAATGCAAATCGACTATAAGCTGTATGAATTCGCAATTAGATTATCCATCCATTTTTTAAGGCACGTGTAGAATTACAGCGCCGTAAAAATGTTGCCATTTTAACTTGTCAAAGCATGCAATTATAAAGGCAGTGGTATTATTTTAAATAATTGATTTCAAAAAGCACTGTTATCGCGCGCGAAAGAAATTTCCTTCGCAGAGTTATTTCTGTATTATTTCGTGTAACGTATTATAATTATACATGCAAACATTTTGAGATTTGAGTCTAAGGATAATTAATTTATGTTTAACACAGCACTTTTTCTCATTAGATTTGCGTTCTATAATACCCATTATTTCCGCGCAGATAATATGTTTTCTACCGGCGTTATCATAAATACATAAACATTTTATAGTCCTTAATCTCCCCGACGGTTCGCAGATGCAATGCATATTTTATCAAGCTACATGCGCAGCGTGAATTCCTAGTTAAAGTAATCCGTCTCGATGAACGTCCATTCCGACCAAACTAACGCCCGCTCCGACGCGACGCTGGCCAG